TAGGCAATGTTTCGCGAAGATAATCAAAATCAAACGATTATGCTCAGTCAGATGTTATGTGTCAATACTCTCCCTAACTCCCTCCTCATCCAATTCTGGGCGTACAAGTGACGTCAATATCAGGATCTTATAGTGATGACGTCACTCGCAGACCTCGATGGAATGCTTGCGATTCAGGCTGTGCTAGTGAGTTAATTTTTTCGTCGATTTTAAATGTAGAAAAGGTGATTTTCAGTCAGAGCTAGAATCACGATAAGTAGAACTCTACTTTCATGACGTCACTCGCGACCTATTTTGTCGCGTAGTATAGGCGATGATGACGGTTGCTAGGCAACCTGACGTCATGAGAGTAGAATTCTAGTAGAATTTTACTTATCGTGATCCCAGCCCTGTTCTCACGAAAGAAATTAGGTGTTCTTGATCCTCGAATATCCCAGAATTTGAGGGGCGGGGGAGTTAGGGGAGTATGCTTAGAGCAGGTAAAGCGCTGTCCTATGGACATAAGAAGTAGGAACGCGCCATTCTGCTTATGAAACTAAGGGGACGTTCCGTAAGTTAACCAAGATTCTTGGTTTTTCCGGTAAACGTTCCGTAACCTAACCACTCCTGAAATCTGGTTAGGTTATGAAACGCGGTTCCACACATAAACCACATATTCAGGAACCAGGCTGTCACCATAAACGAACCGCTCCATACCAATCGGTAACTCTGGTTAAGATACGGAACGCCGCCTAAAGACGTCTTTTTCTGTTGAACCGTGTTTCAAAACGTTTCAAAACTGGTTCGATTGCTACGTCATCATATCGGATCGGTGGTACTCAAAAAGGCCCCGTTTTAAAACGGAGCCCGTGATATCTCTAAAATTATTATTGTTTTGTGGTATTTTGAGGACAGCTGTTTAACGTCTATTCTGAAACAGGCTGAAAGAGCGGTTCGAAACTGGTTGAACCGTTTCCGCATATGACGTCACCGTTGCAACACAAAAATGTAGCATTTAAAACGTTTCAAAACATTCCGTCAGAAAAAGATACGTCATAAACTGAAGCCAAAGCCGTTTTCTCGCGTCCACTTTTTTGACATTGGTTCAAAACCGGTTTGGGATAGTCAATGGAGACACCATTGCCCGTTTCAAACCCATTTTGAACCAATGTCAAAAAACTAGACGCGAGAAAACGGCTCAAGTTTTCGGCAGGTGTTTGGCACCAAAATACAGGTAAAGCATTGAATTGCCATGGAATTGCCTATATCGCCATTTTTTTGGTGCCAAAATACCTGGAAAAGAACGGCTTCATTTTCCAACTCTATAGCCGCTTTCCAGCTGACGCTTTTGAGCACGCAATCGAGCTTTTGCGCGCGCAAATGCGTCAAGCGCGTATTCGTGTTCCAGCCGTACTGCGCTTCGAGAGCTGCTAACTTTTGCGTTTCAAACACAGAACACTGTGCTGCACCGTGCTTGAAGCACACAGCTGGAAAGCGGCTTAAGTTACTACTCCTTTACCTGCTCTAAGGGAGTATGACACAATTGACACATAACATCAGAGCTTTACATGCCTAAATTGTTAGAGTATCATGCTCCTGGAGTGTGACGCTTTTGAACTGTTAAATATAGCACTGGAACGCTCTCGTCTTAACCCCAATCATTTCGGACTTCAGGAGCATGGAACACCGAAAAAATGGTTGGTGCACGAGGCGGCAGGGGATAATAGAAATGAGTAGTTCAAGTGTACGACACTCTAGCACTGGAACGCCAAAAGCAATTTGTGGAGCATTCGTGAGCTGTTCAGGAGTATCTCAAATGGATCACTGGAAAGCACCTCTCAGAGCATCATCGAGTACCTATGCTTGGTTATCCTCGCGAAAATTTGCCTATTTATTATATTCGTCTATTATATTTCATAGAGTACAGCAATAACAAACAAATAAATTAATTAACATAGTTAACAAAATCTCATTTTTTCCAGGTGAAACCTTGGAGTAAGCTCCATTTACTCCTTATTACTCTATTTGCCCAAACTACTCTCGCATTCACTTCTACTGCACGTTACTGATGCTCCTGTTTTGAAAATCGCGATAATTTTCGATTTCCTATCAGAGGCCCAATTCTCTTCTCAGGAAGTTGAGGAAGTGGGACTCCCCGAGACAACACATTTTTCAATGTCAAAAAAGTGCGAATTTCGCAGTTATGAGTACTTCTTTGGTACTAGGCTTAAGCATGGATATCGTGACGTCATACGCAGAGTACGCTGAACAAGGTCATAGGCCAAGGTTGTTTGAAAGAAGTAGGTTGCGAGGCCTCTGTAAAGAACGAACCGTTCGATTCGATAGAATTTCTTCGATTGTGACGTCATTTTCAGTTTGGTTTTCGCGGTTTTCGCGCTACCATACCGAAAATTACGTCACAATCGAAGAAATTCTACCGAATCGAATGGTTCGTTCCTTACAGAATAAAGCCTAGTACTCATAACTGCGAAATTCGCATTTTTTTGACATTGCTTCGACAATTTGACGTTTGATACACGCATAAAACGTCAAATTTTCAACGCAACGTCAAAAAAATGCGAATTTCGCAGTTATGAGTACTAAGGCGGGGCTGGGACTCTGTAACGAATAGAGATATTTTCTCTATCTTGAAGTCTCCTCTTCATTGATTTCGACAAGACAGAAGAAGACATAGCGAGGGTTGCCACCTCTCCGGGTTTCACCCGGAGTCTACAGGTTTTTACATATGGTCTCCGAGCTCCGGATTACTTGGTGTTTTCTCCGCATTTAACAAAAAAAAAACGCATTTAAAAAAAAAAAAAATCTCCGACTCCAACACGCACGTTGGCGATAGACAGCCCACGAACCTCAATGCCTCATAATCTTCCTCAAGGATATTAAACACTACTACAGGTCTGCTTATCGGACTCGATTTTTGAAATCAAGACCATGGTGTTGCACCGTTACCGACATCATCAACTATACATTTATGAAGAGAAATAATATTTAATTTTGATTAACATAATAGGCAAAGGAAATAGGAAGATGTAAACGAGATCTAAAAAGGAGTTGTTTTAGATTGCTGATTAATGTACTAAAACCAAGTATGCACAAGCCAAAAGCCTGCGGAATAATAGTCTGGTGCAAACACCCTACTTCAAGGCGAGAAAGGACACGCTGCCTACGTCATCACTGGTTCTTTGGATTTTTGGCGTGGTGGGGGGTTTGAGATTTGATCTACACGGGCCTAATGAGGATAGGCTATCCTGTTCAGTGTGTAGTATTCTTGAATCTTCTTCTCCAACCGTCTCAACTCCCAACCTCAAGCAAAGTTTCCTCGAGCAACATCCGGTGATGCTGGGGGGGGACTTGTGTATATACATATAGACAGATAGTAAAGTGTAAAGCCTAGTACTCATAACTGCGAAATTCGCATTTTTTTGACATTGCGTCGACAATTTGACGTTTGATACACGCATAAAACGTCAAATTGTCAACGCAATGTCAAAAAAATGCGAATTTCGCAGTTATGAGTACTAGGCTTTATGCATCTGTTGCATTGTAGATCTGCAGATTTTCTTTTTCAGCTTTCTTTCAATAATGTTTTTTTTTTTCTCCGGTTCAACTTACTTTCAGAAGTGGAATCCCTACATAGTGATAGGGAAAACGATCTCTGTTCGTTACAGAATTCCAGGCCTGATAATTTCATGACGTCATCTGGGGAGCCTCAACATAATGCAAAAATCTCCATAGGCACCCCGGACCCGGACGCGTCATCAGGTTACCCATTACCAGGCAACCTTTGAGCTTTAGGGACCTTTGTCATAGCCGACCTAAGCTGCTTTCCAGTATGCTCATTGGAGCGCTCTGGAGCAATTTGTTATAACTTGCTTCTTGGCTCCAAGAGCATGAGAACGGGTGGAACAAAATGCTGGCAACGCGGAACTCGAACTAGTGCAATTTTTTTTATTTCTGTCCTTTTTTTCTACAGGGCCAAGTTCAGAAATGTGCGATTTTATGGGTGTGCCTGAATCGAAAATTGGCCATTGGCCCATACCACCGTCTAGCATTAGTTGTATTCCTTTCACCCTAGGAGGAACTCCGGAACAGTTCCGGGGCTTCACGCGCTTATTCCTTTCAAATAGAGTTTGTTGCACCACGCATCTGTTCCCTACAAATCGGGGGCTACTAAACACCGTAGCGAGTAGCTCGAGTGTTTCAAACTCTTGAAAGGAATACAACTATTTTTGAACAGCTAGGGCATCGCACCGGTGTCACACTCACATTGGGTGTGTCATTCGTGAACTCGCCCCAGGTCGATTTTTTTAATGCAAATTTTTTGATGCAAATATACAGTGCGTATCTACCTATAGGAAACGCCATAACATTAGCTGTATTCCTTTCACACCTAAGAGGAGCTCTGGAACAGCTCCGGTGCGTTACGCGCCTATTCCTTTTGAAAAATATCTGTTGACTCTCAAGTCCGAATCAAACCATTAGAATAAACGAAAGTCAGCGCATCTGTTCCTTCCAAATCGGAGTCGACTAACACCGGAGCGAGTAGCTCCATTAGGGGCGAGTTCAGGAATGACACATCCAGTGTGAGTGTGACACCGGTGCGACGTCCTAGGTATTTCTGAACTCGGCCTAGTTGTATTTTGCTCACACCTAGGAGGAGCTCCGGAACAGCTCTGGGGCTTTACGCGCTTATTCCTTTCAAAAAATGTTTGTTGCACCACGCATTTGTCCCCTGAAAATCGGGGGCGACTAACACCGGAGCGAGTAGCTCAAGTGTTCTAAGCTCTTGAAAGGAATACAACTATTACAGGTTCGGCTATTTAGCGCGGAGTTGGAGTGGAGTGAACAGAGCTAATAGAGTCACCCCTAATACGGTAAAAAGCAATACCCGAACCTTAATCCGAACGGAGTGCGAATAGAGTCACTCCGAGTGCACGGAGTGAGCAAGCCGAACCCACCTAAAAATTATATTTATTTTACATAACCAAACTAAAAAAATTATTTAAAAACAACTAAAAAAAAAAGAATTATTTATTAATTAAAATTCAATCGATTAACCGGTCTTTACACAGTTAATTGCAATGTCCCACTATCGGCCCACTCAAGCCCTAAAAAAGGGCCAAAAGGGCTTCTTTGCTACTGACAATAGTGAAAATAAGGGCGCCCGGTCCTTTGTAGTTCTCGGTTTTCTTGCAACTGGAGCAGCTAGTGGACAAATTATGGCACATACACTTTTCAGTTCTCACTATAGAGATTATGTTAGACTCTATAAGTAAGTATCAAATTCAATAGTTAATTTTTCTACATTAAGGCCCGGTTTACTCATCTTTAGATAAACTTGCTGGTAACTAACTGAAAGATACATTTGCCGATCTATAACCCTATTGGTACACGGATAACTTGCTGACCAATGGAATTACAAGATCTGTTCTCACCCCAGTAATCACAAACCAGTCATTGGTTGAAAATAATCAAGAAACTGTTTGCACCAATCAAAAACACTCTTACTGGTTTGTGGTTTATGAGAACAGACCTTATTATCCCTCAGATTGCATTACCTGAGAGTTTATCAGAAGGTGAATAAACCACCTCTTAGTGATGTGAGTCGAGAATATTCCCATGCGAATATTCACAAACATTGGGAAATTTCCGAGAATATTTGCCAATAAAAAATGGATACGTTCTCCTGAATGAGAATATTCCCGGAAACTTTCAATCAAAAACTCTCAAAAGAATATTTCCGAGAACTTTCGAGAATATTTCTAAGAACTTTCCAGAAGAATTTTATAAAAATGCGAGATTATTGCGAATACAAGGTGTCAGTGACGTCATTTCAATTTATGTGGATGACATAGTCCAGTCCAACTGTAGTCAGTACGCTACACTAATAGGTAAATAAAGCTTACTACGATTTGTCTGATTTAGCTATAAATTAAAAAAAAAAAAAAACAATATTTCCCCTTAGTACCCGAAAGTTTCCAATATTCCCGGAAAGTTTCCGAGAATGTTCACGGCTTTTGAATGTTTCGGGAATTTTACATCACTACCACCTCTTAAGTTAGACACTATTAACTGATATTAATTAATTATAATAAAAATCAAGTATTGAAAATAATTAATAAAATACTTTATTCCGTTAGAAAAGGATTTTCACTGCCTGTACCAAAACCACTCGAAGACCGTTTCAAATCAACTCTAAACTTACTAAATGTAAGCCCAAAAAAAGTTATTGACGGCCAATTATAACTATTACTTTCAGATTGATCCCAGATACCAAAAATACTACAATCCATTCATGGCTTGCGGCTTCGATATGATCAGTATGGGAACCTCTGGAAAATGCGGAATACACATTGGCCTACCAGTAAACTTCACATACAACACCGTATCAGATGTAGATAAATCTAGAATAATGGTAAACCAGGGATCTGTAGTTTGGGATTCTGAAGCGGGACAGCAACTATTAAAATCCCTAGTCATGCCTGAGCAAGGGCAAATGTACGCAATGGCCAGGGAAATTAAAATGAGAGACAGTTTGAAATTGTATTTGGACATTTCTTATGCCTTAGTTGGAGCTGCCTTGGCGTACTTTGGAGGCACCAGCATGAATAAAAGACTTCATTTACAAAACCAACCTAGACCAGTAAGACTTGTAGGAATTGGTTTAGTTGCAGCATTCAGTGGCTTGAATTATTTAATGTGCAAAGACTTCACCCAAAATTACTATGAAGAAGTTATAGATAGGGAACTAAAAGAATTGGATCCTATTTTTGCTGAGGGAGGCAAACAATTTTATACGCAAATATTGGAGAGGAATAAAGCTTTGAGGACTTTGATGGGCAAAGAAGGCGAAAGCACTTATACAGTTTTAGGAAATGAGAATTTCTTGTTTAGACATAAACATAGGCCTTTAGTGCAAAGGAAAATATTTTTTGAAGAACCATCAGAGCAACAAATTAATCAATAAATTGTTTTATTTATAACAGTAAAATTAAATCTATTTTTAACTTAAAACCAAACCCCATCGTCATCTTCAGGTATATTATCCGGTTCTTGTTGCAAATGCTGATGATTTTCTTCATCCTCACTTTCACTCACTGCCAAATCGTCATGGATTTTAATTTCTTGGCCTTGAACTGGATCATCTACTTTACGCACAGATGCTAATCCAGACATAAGAAAATCTGAAGGATCGTAATTTGGATCAACATCAACATCTAAACTTTCTTCTGCAAATAATAATTCAAATAAACAACATCAATATTATATAGAATTACCTTTAAAGATTAAAGTCTCAGGTGTGTTTAATTCTTCTTGCTGATAGAAGCCCATTGAACCAAGCTGCACCATTGCTTCAGCAGCTTGTTGACTGTCATCCTCTATAGGAATTTCAGCAGAAATTAAAAGCCCTTTTTGCTCTGGCTCAGGCTCAAATTCAGTCAGAGGCACCTCATCTAGCTCATCTTCACTGGAAAACAACAAATCTTGTTCCAAAGTATCTGCCTGTTCACTTTTGAAACGTTTCCTAGGCTGTTTGGGTATGAGCATAGGTTCATCTAGTTGAATGTCGCCTTCAACATCCACAAAATCGTAGTCCTCCTCTTGACTTTTGCCAGGGGATGTTGCATGTTCTGGTGAACTTGCGTCCATGTGGTAACTTTCTTCGTCGGTTCCCATCCAGTTGTCGTCGTCTTGGGCCGCTTTTTCTTGCTCCGAGGTTAGTTTGTTTTCCAGAGCGGTTAAATGTTCATCAAACTAGAAAGAAAAAAACCTTAAATTGATATTTTCATTCGAGCTTCAGTAACTTTAAATTCTTTAGACTTTGTCTCTTAATGTTTTTTTTTGAAATTTGTCTTTTTCCATAAAGACATTGACATACATTTTGCCTCATAACTTTGTTAATTTCAATCCAATTTTAACCTAATTAGGTTTAAATTAAAGACAAATAAATCCTCTACAAACCTCATCGAGAGCAGCTTTACAAGTCTGCACCAGCAACTCTGCCTTTTCCGTAAACGGCGAATCTTTTCCATTATACAAAATGCAATTTTCCAGTATTTGTTCCACATCCGCTTGGAAATCGTGCCGATTATAATATCTGTGACCTAAAAACAGCCCTAAAAAAACAACTTCAAACCCAATAAAAATCCTTACTTATAATTTTCTTGCTAATAGTCTCTAAATCCATAGGTCTCTTGACAATAGTATAATAATCCTTAACATTTTTCTTATTGACCGGTTTATGGAAAGGCCACGATTCAGACAAGGCCTTCAATTTAGTATTCATAATATTCTCCAGTAAATAAGTAAAGGCCACTTGATCATTGTCCAACAAAGGATTGATGGCCCTTTCCAGCCTCATCAGCCTGTCTTCCTTCTCTCTCAAACGCTCCACACATCTAGTCAGCATCCTTGTCGCCGCTATTGTAAAGCTACTCTTAGGCCCGTTGTACAATGTCGAATTTTCCATAATTTGATTAACATCGGCCAAAAATTCTTCGCGGCTCTGGTACTTTTTCTGCCTGAGGTTTTCTCGCATCGTTTGCAAGTCCATTGGACGTTGGATGATTTTGTAATAGTCCAAAACTAGTTTTTGGTTGACTGGAAATAGGAAAGGTTGGACGTCAGGCATGGCGCGCATTTCATTGAGGATTGCTTCCAGGATGGATGAGAGGACTACAACTGGATCTGTACGACGCCGATTGGCCGATTTTGACGGTTTTTTGAGGTAGTCACAATGCAAATCTGTCAGGCCTTTCTTCCTTTTTTTACCAAAAGCATCTTTGGGTACTTTCTGCATAAGGCTGCGCCGTTTCATTTCTTCAGCGTGCTTGATCAGTTTGCTGGATAATTTCATTTTTGTGCCTTCTACATTGACCAAATCTTCGTCGTCTGTGTTTAATTGCTTATCGGTTTCTTCTTCTTGTTCATCTGAATGGGATACGTTCATTGGGGTTGTAATACCACCTATACTACCTAAATTTGCACCTAGAATTAAAGTGAATTAGCTAAAAAAAAAAAAAAAAAAAAACTAAAACTACCTATATTCTGATACAAAGGACAAGCTTTATTGGTTCTCATATGTCCAACCTGTCCGCAAGCTCCACACTTAAGCTTCAAATCAGGCTTAAGTTTGGTTTTTCTTCGGGATTTGGGTGGACTTTCCTGCTTGATAGCTTTGGTAGGAGTGGGCGGAGTGGAGGTTGTCGATGAAGAGCTTTGATGGTGTGCCGGATTGGGTAGTTTTTCCACAGGTACGTTGGGGGTCTGAGCACGGTGGGAGGAATGATGTTGATGGCCAATTCCGAGCCTCTCTTTTTCCTGGTTGCGTTTGATGCGGCGCAATTGCTCTTGGATACGACGTTTCTCCCTTTTCATTTCTTCCTTTTGCAGTTCGTCTATGGTAGCAAATTGTCGGATAAAGTTTTCGTCTTTCGTGGTGCGGATTTTTACATAGACGTCGATAATGCCTGGCTTTCTGACGTACTCCAAACGAGTGTACTCTTTGCCTTCAGCGTTTTTATAGGTGCGGATTATTTTCAAGACTTTTGGGTTTGGGTAGTTTACTTGTTCCTGGCTTTCGTCTTCTTCTTTCTTTTTTTCTTTGCGCTCCTTATCGCCTTCCATTATCATTTTTCTTAATTCTTGACGTTCTTGTTCTTCGCGTTCCAACGACAACTGAGTGCTGGTCTTCTTATTGGCCAACATGTTTTCGATGTTTTTGCCCATCTCTTCAATGTCTTCGTCGCTCTCGTCTTCTGAGCTTTCACCCTCGTCCGTACTGAGCACTTCCGCACTTGCCAAGACCCGATTTTGCAAATCGAAAATCCTCTGGCATTCTTCTTTGTATCTTTCTTGGTGTTCGGCTATTGAGAATCGGTTTCCTCTCGAGAATTTGTCCATGCCTTCTTCGCCAGCTTTGGCTTTTTCCGTTGACAGCGTTCGCACCACGTCGATTACTTCCCAACGGGACAGTTTTTTGATTTCTTCTTCTGGAACGCCGAATTTACGTAAAAGGGCTTTGGCGTTGTTCAGCGACAGTCTTCTTAAATCAGCGTCAGTACCTAGAGGAAGAATTTATTCGTTAGCAACTATATACAGCAGAACCCCGGTTCCGGTTATCCGAGGTAACGTGGGGGGGCACCCAACGTGGCGGGGCACCCAACTCAGATAACTGAAAACTTGTATAATCCGAATGTACATTCATTTTGTATATTTTAGAAACTCGGAAAATATGGAGTATAGACGTGCACAACATCACTTAATGAACGCACTCAAGCGTAGGCATATCCCGTATACCGTATGCAAATGGATAAAAGCCAGCCTAAGAAACAGGGTAATTACATCTAGTCTGGGTGAGGATACAGTAGAACCAATAGTGGGAAGGGACTGCGTACAGGGAAGCGTTTTATCACCATTGCATTGGTGATCTCCTAGCAAGAATGACCAAGGAGAGATTCTACTGCCTCGGCTACGCGGATGATATAGTCCTGGTAATCAGAGGCAGGCATCTAGAACATGTCTCAGAAGGAACTCAAAAAGCACTGAACATAGTAGATAACTAGTGCAGGGATGAAGCGGAAATCCCCTTCCCAAAAGAGGTTTTTGGTTATTTCCCAAAAGAGGTACCGTTTGAGTTATTTTTGACCAAAACATGACCTGGGGTCCACACCTCGATAAAGCAAAAATTGCCCTGAAGAGATGCAGAAGGCTTTGTGGAAAACGCTGGGGACTTAATCCAAAGATAGTTATACAAAATGGTGATAGATCAATGATAACCTATGGTTCAGTTGCCTGGGGTACAAAGGTCACACAGACGGTAGCAATCAGACAGTTTCAAAGTGTGAAAAAGCTAGCCTGCGTATGCATCACGACACGGGGGCCATGAAAACAGCCCCAACCGCAGCCTTGGAGGTGCTGCTTAACCTGCCGCCTCTACATATTTACATACATGGTGAAGTAAAGGCGGTACTATACAGACTGAAGCAAGGCCAGGGTCCAATTATAAAACACCAAAGGATCATGAACTGAAAAATTGAGGAGGATCCAAAGGTCAGCTCATTATTCAAAATGCCCTCAGCCAAAGCAACACCTATTTTCATTCTCAACAAACAGGCACTTCCGGATTGCCATACCAGATACGGAAGAGTGGAAGAAAGGTCCTCCAATCAAAGCAGACCACATCTGATACACCGATTGCTCCTAGATCAGCAAGGGGGTTGGAACCGGATCCACAAGTCTCGGACAGTACGTTACGGTGTTTTAGGCGGAAATCGCTGCAATAATGCACTCTCCGGCCCTAAAGGCAATCAGCTCCCGAAATATCAGCTCCAAGCTGGTTGGGGACTGTATACATGCTCTAGAGGATGTGGGCCTGTCCAATAAACTTACCATAGCTGGGGTACCAGGCCATGAGGGCCACCCCCAGGAAATGAAAAGGCTGATGACTTAGGCAAAGGAGACTCGGCCACTGAGATGATAGGCCCAGAACTATTCTGCAGAATTTCTGTAGGCAGTTTTAAAACATCTATCAATAACTGGATAGATAGAGTTGCAGAGCTGGTGGCAGGGAGCACCAGGACAACGACAGACAAAGCAGTTTATCAAATCCTGCATAAGTTCACTGCAGACCTACTAAGCCACAGCTGCAAGATTGTTAGGATAACAGTAGGCCAATTAACAAGGCATTGTAAACTCAACAGGCACTTGGAAAGAAATAAGCCTGACAGAGGATAGCCTGTGCAGGTTTTGCCAAGAGGCGGAAGAAACTGCCATACATGTATGGTGCAGGCTTAAGTTTGCGACGCTTGGAGAGAAAAAGCTCAATCCGGCAAGCTACATGGAGTGGCCAGTATCATGGCTCTGGAGTCTGATAAAAAGGACGGGTCTAGAGCACGCACTCTAAGGATAGATAGCAGGAGATACCACAATAAATTTCACAAAGTTTCAGTGGTAGAGGACGCCTCTGCGCCATCTCCATTCAAACAAATCTACAATCTACAATAGACGCGCGTATCTTGGATAATCAGGGTGTTTGAGTCTTTAGACTAGCCCCGGTTAATTAATAAATTGCGACTCGGATAATCGGAGTTCTACTGTAAATCATTAAAACCTGAAAAGTTTGAATCAGAGTAGTCAAAAGCCTGGAATAGAAAAAAAAATTACCTACAACCCTTACCTGTAACAGTTCTTTTAGGTTGCGACTCTTGCTCCTCCTTGCTCTGCGTAGGTTTATTAGGAACCCTAACATAACTAAACCCCTCCCCACATCCCGTAGGATCAGCAGGTCCAGTAAGTTGCAACAAACATTTGCCTTTCATGGCTTGAATGTACGCTCTGGTCGTATTCCAAGGCGCCACTTTGACTTCGTCGTCCATTTTCAGTTGCATTTCTTCGTCGTCGTCTTCCGCCGCGGTCAAAATGAATTTTTCCCCGTAGCCGGCGTCCTTGAGCCTTTGCTCGGCGGCCACCATGCTAAAGTAAGCGCAGCATTGTTCAGGCGAAACCATGGCGCGAATTTCTTCTTCAGTGGGTAGCCGGAATTCGGGTTTGATGACCCACCAGTTAGAGTCCATGCCTGTTCGTTTGAAGTCTGCGCACAGTTTTAGACGTTTTCTTATGCTGCTTTCTGAATGGGAAGGAAATGCGCGTTTGATGTCGTCCATTTTTATACGTCTCGGATTGTCGCGACTTTTCCAGAACAAGCGGTAGATGAACACTTGCAAAAAATCTCTGACGAAATTATTGGCTCTTTTGGAATTGGGGCCAGGGACTTCGTACAAGGGACATTCTTGACCTGCTACAAATAAAGAGTCGATTTCCCTTATGTAATATTGCTGTCTGGTTCTTATGACCAAGAAATCTGTAGAAGGTATTTGGTGATTGTAAATGGGCGCTCGGTACATGTTGTTTTCCACAGTTTGTATTGACTGGCCTGGTAAGAGAATGCCTAAAAACGGCGAAGTGTGTGCGTATGCGGTTTCACCATACTTATAAGTGGGAGGGTTTGAGTCTTTAGCTGCTTTTCTTTTGTAGTAGTTTTTGATTTTGGAGCACATGCCCACTTGGTTCATAAGAGGCGGATGCTCTTCGCAAAATTCAACCAAAATAATGTCGCCGTCTCTTCCAGTAAGATCTTCGGCTGTTCGCATGAAGAAAACGTCTCCACCGCCTGAAGCCATACGTTCTTGTTCTCGGACTTTGGCTTTTTTCTTGATGTGCTTTACTAATGGGAGAGCAGGGTGAGGTCCTGGAAAAGCTAAAGGACCGTGCGAAAATCGTTTTAGGGCTGGTCTATGGAAGTTTCTAAGGCGCGTAGGGCCCATGTGGGTTTGGACAAATGGAGCACGCAGTTCCACTACTGGAGTGGAATGTTGGATCAGATTTGCTCCACCTACTTTAAGCCGCATGGTAGATTCGGATGTTCTTGGTTGATAATAGCTGGAATAATTTAAGTCAAATCAAAATTAGTCAAATAAAATGTCAAAACTTACATATCATTGGAAATGTTAAAAGGGTCACGGTCTGGAGATTTAGGAGGAGGCGGTGGTGTGTCTTCTTGAAGCACGTTAATAACGCCAGCTTTGCCTAGTAGGATTTTTGATTTTTTAACGTGCGGGTGCGGTATTTTTACTTTAACCGGCGTCGGTTGCCCCGCTATTTGCTTAGAAGGATCAATATCGTCTGGAATACCCAAAATGATGTTTTCATCATTAGGATCCAGCGTTAGAATCGACGGTTTCGGGATGTTCTTCATGTTTTCAGTGTCCCAAATTACGTCATCTTCCCATCTACCATAAACCAAATCTTCGTTTTCTACTGGAAAAATCGAGTACCAAGTGTCGTCTTGTTCCGGTTCCACTCTCAAGGGTTTCGGTGGAATACTACAAAATAATGGCCAAATCAAGTTGCTGTAGAGTATTCAAAGGACACAATACTAACATGTCCTTTTTGGATTTGATCACTGTAGGACTGGGAGTTGGCGGCATCCGAATATTACTGGTACCCACTTTGCCCGGTTGACTGAAAGCTTGAGCTGTCCTATTGCCGCTACTCGGTACCCAACCCGCTGCATTCGTTTTGCTGTTCAATTTTTGCATGACCTAAATTATCAGCTTGAGAAATAACTTAAAAACCAACTAGGTACTTCATTGTATTATACCCAATATAAATATATATAAATTTCATATATTTTACACCTACATGAATCAAATAAAAAAAACTCATCAAAACATTTTATTTATTACAAATCCTAAAAACCATACCTTATGTTTGATGTCATTTCCATCCCACACAACATCATCCTCCCAATGTAGTTGGGTGACCATCAAAAAAGCATCATCAGGATATGGTTCCTCTTTAGCTGGTTCTTCTCTCTTAGGCGACTGTACTTTGATTGATTCTTCGCTATTTTTAAAGCCGTAATTGAATCCGTCTCCAGTTTCTGGGACTTCCAACATGTCGTACCAGATTTGAGCGGGCCCGAAACGCCAGTCTGCAGCTTTGGGGCCCGACTCGTCCTTTTTCTCCAAGTCTTCCTTGCTGGATTCGTTTTGTTGTTCGGCTGGTTTGAGGAATTTTTCTTCATCGTCGCTCTTAATTCCTTCAGGAGGTACATTATTGGCATAGTCAAAAAACCAGCCTCTGTTTTTAGGTTTTTCTTCGTCTGAAGAATCAGATTCGGGTTGATTTTCTTTTTGTTTTCGCTTCCGACGTTTTTTTCTGACGTTTTTCCAAATGTTGGGCAAACTGTTTGGCTTGCCCGGACCGAATAGGCGTGAAAATCTCAGCACTTTTCCGTGTCTGAAATCGGGAAAAAGTACTGTAACGTCGACGTTGGCGTATTTGGAAGGCAGCATTGCTGCTAGGGGAGTTTCAAGCTTGCGTTTTTCAACTACAGCGTTTTCTGGTGATGAAGTTGAAGGCAAAGGAGGCGGTGGCATCAGGCTTTTATCATTTCGAGTTTCGTCGTCGGCATCGTAGTCTTCATCGTCTGCGGTTTCATTAATGTCGAAGAAATCTTCGGCTGTTGGGGACTTCTGATCATCTAAACATTGAAATTTTCTTTTGTAACTGCAAGTTTGTATAAGTAGTACTTACAAGTTTGAGAAAAATACGATTCAGAATCATTGTCTTGCAATTGCGATCCACTATCGCTTTCTGTATCTTGGATTTTCTCTTCGCCAATTACTTCTTTTAGGATTGAGCCAAACGCCAGTCTTTGTGGAAAAAAATTATGTATTTTTGGGTTTGGATAAAATTGCAAAGTTACCTTCCCAAAGAGGCCAGTTGCCTCTGGGTTTCTAAATCGAACACATCGTTTTCCAGATTGCCGGATTCGTCGATGTTTCCGAATAGGAAGCCGGTCAGGTTGAGGCCCATTGGGCCGTCGTCGTAGCCGTCATCGTCGCTATCAGTCATGATGATTACTGAAAAAGGGGCTTTTGGAAATTGTATTTTTGGATAGAGGAAGGTTGTAAGTATATTGTCTTTGCATCACACAAATCTAATTGAATTTGTAAAAGGTTCAATTGGACTCAATTTGAGACTAATTACATTATCCATTAGGTATATTGTCCATCGTTTTTAATGTGATACTTAATTTAGGTCTAATTATGTTAAAATTGGATTCCAAAACACTGGACTACCTGAAACCAAATAGTTATTTATATCCTACTGAACTATTATAACCATATAGGTAATACTTTGGTTATGATAATTATAAACTGGGTTTTGATTGCCACGAGGGAGTTAAGGATTTCATAACTCTTAACTCCCACTTTTTCCTTGGATAAGTACAACTTTGGGAAAAAATAAAAATTTTGGTTTATGGTTTATGGTTTATTTTTTTATTAAAGTGGACAAAATACAGTAAATTCAGTAGGAAATAAAATTATGTATTCCTCATAATTCCCTTGATACATTAACTATAATAATATTACATATTTAGATGTATCTTGTAGGTCGTTAGTTTAGAAAAGACACTTGCTATTATTTGACAAGTCTATCAAGTCAATTCTAAACTTCTAAAGCTTCCTCAAGGTCCAACGAGACTACAAACCTCAAGGAGTGACTATAAATTTCGCCCTTAGTAAAATGAAAATGAATATTAGTAGGTAAAAACAATAAAACAACAATTTGAAACAACTTTATTTCAAATTATATAAAAATAAACTCAACTATTTTCTTGTAGTGTGGATGATTTCATGTTGTTGACAGGGTTGCCAACTCTCTGGTTTTGACCCGGAGTCTCCGGATTTTCAAGGTATTTCTCCGGTCTCCGGATTACATATATTTTTTTCCGGGTAGAACTCGTCGGAAATATATAAAAACCAAGATACAAAAGTAAAACATATTTCCTGAGAAATTCATGCGACTTGAATGGCATGCCGGCATGGTAACGTCGTGACAACACATTTTAACCCCAAATTGCACAATAAGCTCTGTTCCAACCTACATGAGAACCGTTCTAGAATAGAATGGTAATTTCCAGTCGATCAATTTATTTGTCAAGTAGGATAAACGTTCAACTTATTGAAAAATAGGTGGGGAACTGGAAATTAATGGTTTTGGAACGGTTAACGGTTCTCATGTCGGTTAGAACAGAGCTTTAAATTCTTTCGTGAATTAACCAAATATTATTACCAACTGGCAAATACAGAGAGACGTGATAGAAGGTCTGTTCTTACCGAAATCACAAACTAGTTAGAGCGAATTCCATTGGTTGAAAATAGTCAGAAAACTGGTTGTATGGCGATTTGCACCAATCAAAAACGCTTTGACTGGTTTCGTGGTTTCTGATTTCTGTTAGAACAGACCTAGAAACACAATTCATGCGATCTGTTTTTAGTTTAATGTTGAAATCATTGGGTGATTTGCATTACAGTGGCTAAATAACCCTTTACATACAGTGGCGACAATAGAGGTCCCGCCGCCATCTTGTTCCCAACTAGGGTTGGGTAAATTTCACTTTTCACTTCATCTGGAAATTTCAGTCTTTAATTTTCATGAAAATATTGAAATTTTTGAAATTTCCGTGACATTTTCAAAATTTCTGAAAATTTCCAAAATATCATGAAATTTTCAAAATTAAATGATTCACTATGAAATTTTCAATGTTTCATAAAATTTCATGAAATTTTCAGTGGTAATAACCCAAGGACATTGATAATTATTCTAAAAAATTTTATAACAGATTTCGAAAGCTTGTTGCTTATAAACAGACCGACACGCTATTTTCTATAAGCAACAAGCTTGAAAAAGTTGTAAAATTTTTGAGTATTTATCAATGTTCGAGGGTTATTCGCATAGAATTTTTTTTGACAGCAATGTTTGAGGCAATGTCACAGAGTGAAAACAACCCTAGGGCTGTTTTCAGTATAATGTTGACATGATTGGGTGATTTGTGTCACATGACAATAAATAACAAAATTTATTTGGCTGTTAGAACCGTCAAAAAATGTTCTATAAAATTCAATTGTGATGTGACATGACTATGTGACTTTGTGTATTAGCTGTGGTATTAGTTTATTTCTTCATACGTTTTATTCTGGCTCAAGTGTCGAATGGGGGGAGGAGACATTTCTTCCCATAAGTTTAGGCTTCCAACATGAAATTCATCTGCCTCGAAAACTTGCTTTGTCGTGTCGTGTCCTGTAAAATCGAATCGTGGCAAATGAATTCCAACCTAAGCTAAGAGATTTGCTAAGAATTAAGATTCTAACAATCCAGAGCAAGACAACCAGATTGCAGTGTTGCCAGTATTGCTAAAAACTCCTTGTATTTCCCAGCGAAACATGTACACTTTTTGAAAATTTCGATAAAATTTATGAAATTTCTAGTGAAACATGAAATTTTCTACAAAGTTTGGGAAATTTCAAATTGAAATTTTCACCTGCAATTTCTGTGAAATTTCACTTTTTTCGAATATTGGAAATTTCAAATTTGAATATTTCAAACATGGAAATTTCATTTGAAAATTTCAAACGGCACAACCCTATTCCCAACCTCTTATTACTTTTAAATATTAATATACATATAGAATTTAAATGGACATCTATAATAAAAAATTGAAATCGACATATTTGATGACCATTACTAGGTCCATCAAATACATTGTTTTCCATGATTTATGATGGATGTTCACCTAAATCCCATATATTCATATTTAAAAGTAACTAGAGGCTGGGAACAAGATGGCGCCGTTTTCAATATAAATATATGGGATTTTAGAACCAATCAAAAATAAAACAGCAATTGTGGCAACTGTGATAATAGAGTCACTGTAATTTGCATCACATGGCAAAAAATAAGAAAATTTAATTGGCTATTAGAACTGTCAAAAAATTTCTTCAACATTGTAGGTATAGAACATCTATAAAGTGTTTACTATGTTGTAACTGGAATGAAATGTTTTATTTTTAGTTTTTGATTTTTTTTATGTTTGTTCTGCTGTTTCAATTAACCGAGCAATTAACATATTTTTGGGAAACGCCATTTTTATTAAGTCGCGGAAAAATCTCCGGGTGAACCAATTTCAAAAGTTGGCAACCCTGGTTGTTGAGGCCAAGATTTTCATACTTGTAAAAGCTGAAATAGTTTTTAAAAGGCAAAACAAGTCATAGATTATACCAACTGGGAGGAATTATTCAATTAAGGCCCGATTTATTCACCTTCTGATAATACAATCTGAAAGATAAAAGTGCAATCTATAATCCTATTGGTTGGCCATTCAGAATAATATAGATCCAGGGGTTTTTCACCTTGTTAATCGGTGTACAAATCACTAGTTAATATACCTATGTCAATACCAGGTAATTACTATGTCAACAGTATCAATACTATGCAATACCTACTTGTTAATTATGTAGGTAATATAGGTATGTCAATACTTGTATATGTAGATATCTAGGCAATATATGTTAATGTCAGTGGTTGATACCTAGAATTCTGGCAAGACAAATATTTGATTTTAGCCTCTCAATATCATGGCAATACCTGGTAATATGTGATAATACTAGGGAAATACCTGGCAATATGTGGAAATATTTTGTTAATACATGGAAATAGTTCGCAGTAACTTGTTATTAGGTATAAAGAAATATCTATTAATACATGGAAATATCTCAGTTAGTACTGTTAATCAATGTACAAATTTTGTTAGGTGAAAAACCCCTCGATATAGATTATAGATTGGTAAACTTATCTCATAGACAGTTGCCAGGAAGTTAGGTTTATCTGAAGATGAATAAACCAGGCCTGAAATCTTTTAGGTATATTAATAGAGGAATAGGAAAGTATTATTTTGTATATATGATTTTCTTAGCAAATAAAGACCTTTCCTACTGGGCTACACTTACCTTTTCCTAAAATGAAAAACTTGATGTTCAAAATAACTATAGGATAAAGAGATAATTAATTATAGAGATTTTGGGATAATGAAGTAATGCAAATGGGAGTAATTTAATGAGATTTGAGCCCTGTATGACATTAATAATAACATAACGAGGCCTTACCTCCAGTTTATATTAGTATTTATCTCTGCTTACCTCTAAGTAGACTTCACTAAGTAAATTTTGGTAAGTTCAGAGTCTGAACATGGAAATTCCTTAAAGGCAAATTACCTCTTTCTAGTTACAACACTAATATAACTGTTTATACATTTATAAATACATTAATTTATTGAAAAGTTTTATATTTTGTTCAAAAGACAACACAACACAGAAAATAAACAAAACCCAGTGGCGACACAGGCGGACGAAAAACTAACCGTGACATTTACTAAGCGCTTTCTTTTTTTTAATCCTAGAGCTACTCTTAATACATTTTGATAATAGAGCAAAAATAAAATCATTTCAGAAAATAATTTTAGAAATTAAGGTCTGTTCCAAAACATCAAAAAACCGTTCCATGGAACCACTCAGTATACGGGATGGTGCCATTACTTAAGAACAGTTCTGAATTAATTAAAATGCCCGAGTCTGTTCTTAGACGTGCTCCAAGCAATTCTGGAACAAGTGCACCGAACCATCGCTTTGTATTTATAGGCAAGTTTTATTAAAATAATTTATTTATAATATAAAACCTTTACAATTTGTTATTGATTTCTATAATTTTCTCCAACCTTTCATAGATCTGCTCCACCTATAAAAACAATTCAAGTTCTATGTACTCCATTATTTGAGTGTAAAATTACTTACAGATGAAAACCAAAGAGTGTGAGGCTTAAACATGATTCTATGCATGAGTCCCATGCTACTGGCCGGAGAAATTACGTGTAGATGTAGATGCCCCACTGTATTAAACGGAGGCAAGTGGAAACCCAGTCTCAAATCATTCACGTCTCCCCCTTGATCTTCTACAGCTTTTTTACCTTCGGCTAGCAATCTATCCACTGAAATTAAATTTATTTTATTTGTGATATAATTCAATTTAATCTTACATAGTCCTTTATGTTCAGGCGAGTTCAAACTGTTCACGTTTGCTATGTGCTCCTTGGGTATTGAGAGGTAGTGATGGATCGCTGCTGGTTTTATGTCTTTGAATATCAAAATTTCGTCGTTTTCGAATTTGATGTCCGCTGGCGAGGATTTGTTTACTATTTTGCAGAAAATACAATTCGACGAAGACATAACTAGAATTTCTAGAATTAATTTATATTTTGCTGACGTTATAAGGTAAGTAGTAGATAATTATTCCTATTTAATTTGTTTTTGTTTTGGAGTTTGGACATTCAGCTGATCAAATGTAATCAATTTTGGCCTTGGAACAAGCAGAACTCGAGCTACTCCGGAGTCGAGCGACCAGAGCGTGGTGAAGCGGAGCAGTAATCACGTAATCAGAGAGCGCACAGAGCAGTTGAACGCTGGAGTGCGTTTAGAAATGGAGTGTGAAGGTAGAGTAGTGTAGTTGTTTGTCAGAGTGTTCTGACGTCATCATTTGGTGGGTGCGTTATTTCTGTTTCATTAGCTGAAACTCGTTCTCTGATTGTTTTCAACTAATGAAATTCACTCTGATTCGTTTGTGATTTCTGCAGAAAACCTCGATGGCAGAAACAGACTTGGGGTAATTTGGGCGCACTCTGGGCACGTCAACTCTCGATTTCTGAACGATTCCAGCGTAACGCTCCGAGTAAGCACCTGTTAATTTATGAATTGTTTAGAGTTACTCTAGAGTCACTCTTACACCCAGAGTGCTATTTCTAAACGCAACCCTGTATCATAGCCAGAGACCCGGGCTGGGATCACGACAAGTAGAATTCTACTAGAATTCTACTTTCATGACGTCAAGTTGCCTAGCAATCGTCATCATCGCCTACACTACGCGACAAAATAGATAGCGTCATGAAAGTAGAATTCTACTTGTCGTGATCCCAGCCCCGGACCGAAATGAAATATCGGTTCCGGTTCACAGCGTTATGACAAATTACGGTTTCGGTTCTGAGAGAAATATTTGGATTCGGATGGGACCAATAATTCCGGTTTGAACGGGTCATACCGGGTATAGTATTTAAAAAATTATCTAACGGAAAAATTTGTGTTTCTGTAATTTGTCGACGCCAAAGTACCCTTGATGACGTAGGCAGCGTGTCATTTCTCGCCTGTAGGGTGTTTGCAAGAACGGGTATTTGCACCACAGTTTTTTATGATTGCGCTGACTTTTAGCAATCCAGACCACGTGATTCAATATGGCCGTTCAGGTCAATTATTGTGGTGATGTTCATAAGAGAAAATATGTGTGTTGCCCTTGGCCGGTTTCCAGTGACGAATTTCAAGGTGCTCCACGCCCGTAGCTTCACACTCTGGTGCTCCAAACGACTTGCTGTGTCACTGGAATGCACCCTCTGTCTGTCTGTCTGTTTCACCCTTTCGAGCCCGCATACTCTACACTGCAGCCTATAGACTTGTATCTCATTTGTATGGGCTCTACTCCTCCTCATTCATAATTGGAGATCAGATGATTGGCGGCAGCACCCTACTTTAAGCGTCATGTTTTTGATGCACCTATAAAATTGCAGGTGCTTGAGAGGGTAGGAGAGAGGAAAAACGACTGTTTAGTTGCGCAAAACTTTGATGCACTGGAACACTTACAAACTGTCCGGGGCACTCTAGAGTAGCTCAAGAGTGCTTAAAGTACGTCACTGGAAAGCGACTGTTTGTTGCAGATGCCGAACATGACAATGCCAATGTCAAACCCAAACGTAATGTGGCAAAATAAGTTATTTTTCATTGATTTTTATCAGTTACCTGTACTTTAACCTAAATGTAAACAACACGGTGTTTGACCTGAACGGCCATATTGAATTTTCTTTGACACGGGGTGCTTTCTTTTCAGAGCTTTGAAACCCCAGGCTTCGACGCTATGGGGCGCGTTAGCGCGCGCACTGAAAAGAAGGGTAATTAAGGGATATATAATTATCTGACACTAGACACTAGTGACATTTCAGACACGAGCTGTAGAGCTTCGACGCCTCGCTGTGGCGTTAGAGATGGGGATAGACGACCCCGGACCCCAGCTGGGGTCGTATTTTCGAATATTCTCGCATACGAAAATTGATACGATTTCGAATGCTCCCCATTTAATTTACATTGCTGTCAGTCAAATTTCGTGTACGAAGTGTACTCGGATGAATTCGAAAATACGACCTCAGGGCTTGACGCCCTGATTAAAAAGAACGGTTGACACATTTTAAAATCGTGATCCAGGGCGCCCAAGTCCTTGAAAAGAAAGCAGCTTTAATTAACATTCTAGAACAACCCTTGTTTAGATCTCGTTTGTATCTTTCTCTCTGCCTATTGTGTTAATCAAAATTAAATATATCCTTCATTATAAATGTATATTCTTAATATTCTCAACCACGACCGCTCACGCAAACTACTAACGACACCGCTGATCGCGTCAGCAACGGTGCAACACCAAATGAACTTTTCACAAATCGAGGCCGATTAGCAATCCTATCCTGTAGTAGTGTGTAATATCCTTGGTGTACAGCCTAGCTGAGTGCAGAAATGCGCGCTTTCCACGCCCTGTTTTGAGTTTTAAATTTATTAATTTACGACCAAACAACAAACAGCCTAATCTATGAAATTTTTAAACTGAAATATACCGGTAAGAACCGATTAATTTATATCGGTTCCGGTTCTGCCTGCCTTACAACATTTCTATGAAATATGAGCTGTTTTCTCGCGGTGGAACCTGGTTCAATTAGGTTCGAACCTATACATTCTTGCGTTGAACCAGTGACGTCATATTGAAACTTGTTCAAAAAAGTTCGAACCGGACTCATGGCTTGTGCTCCGTTGACATAAGACCGTGGTTCAAACCTTCCAACCAAACCATTCGCCCCGCGAGAAAGCGCCTATGGGTTTCGTTCCGATTCCGGTCCGCAAAAAGAAAACGTTTTATTGCGGTTTACGGTTCAATATCGTTCCGGTCCGGGTCCCTTATCATAGCCTCTTTGATTTTAATAAACCAACCCAAATGAGCCTGCACCAAACACACTTTTTTAATAAACGAACGAAAAATTCGAGCTCGGAGAAGAGAACTCAGATTAAATACCGAACGCATGGAGTATTGAACCCAGTGCACTAATTATCCAAAAAAAGAATCAAAAATTCCTTTGACTCAATCAGCTTGATAAAAATCATCATTTAAAGACTTTAAAGCATCGCAGCGGCGAAACTATTGAAGCTCCATTGAAATTATCCATTAGCAGAGAATTTTATTTGGCTCTATTTTGACTCTAATTATATAAAGATCGGATTGAAATTAATAAAAGTTATGAGCTAAAATTATTGTTCCTTGATCTATTCTTACCTTGCGTTCGGTATTTTGCTCAAAGACTAGAGCGTGCTAAGCGGAGCAGTAATCACGTGACCAGCGAGCGAACAGAGCAGTTGAACGCTGTATCAGAGTATTCAGAGTGCCAGAAATTTCAATAAACGAGCGCGAATGAACCTGCACCGAGTACACTTGTCAAAAAAACGAAAGGTAAATTCAAGCTCGGAGAACTCAGATCAAATATCGAACGCACGGTTAATATCATTCCATCTTGGGTTCGATTTCGATTTGCTTACTCCAAGCACTCGGATCGTTCGGAGTCAAGTTACATTACTTTTTGCACTGCACTGCTGATAAAAGAAAGCACCATAAGAAGCTGCTCTCAGCTGGAAAATATTAAAGATTACCCCCACTCCGTGCACTCTCTACACCGCTAAACTCACCTTAACAAAAATACTTAAAATTTCTCAAATTAAAAATTTATTGTGTAATTACATTACTCTTTCGTGGGTGTCCCAATTCAATTCATAATGCAACCGTTCACAGCATTCATGGTAAGCCAAACCGCTCACTAACCTCAATTTGGGGCCCTTTAAACCTTATTTTCCTTGTAGACTGTGGAAAGTTCGCGGTCCTACATCGACGACTTGTATTCACGAGACAGCGACAAGTGTCTCGCTTCGATAATTTGCATTAAAAACTCAGTAATCGGTTCAAACAGGCAAAAGGAAAGCGTCATTGCTCAGGGAATTGTTTCGAGACTGATTTACTTGCTGAGGGATAAAAATGTTAAACCTGAGTTGAGAATTGAGGCTGCACTGACCATAGGATCGTTGGCAAAAGGTACAGAGAATCACATCGAGTTGCTGATAGATTCAGGGATTGTGCAGATTTTATTGGAAATATTAGATGAGCCTGATCCGAAATTAATTGACGCTTGTCTGTGCTGTTTGAGAACTTTGGCTAGTCAGGAACATCATCCCATTAATTCGAAATTCGATGTTAAGAATATTGAAAAGTTGCTCTCATTAGGTGAGTATTGAAGTTGTTCAGAGCAGAGTTTAGTAGGTACTCAGCAAATGTACTTGAAGTATTCAATATTTTAAATGTACTGACAGTATTAAGTACACAATATTGTACTTGGTACCTACTTATAGTATGTGTAGCAGTACCTATATCATTTTCAGTATACATTATTTGCTATTTAGAGTACATTTTATACGTATTTATGTACTTATTATGTATTTAGGTAGGTATTCATTAACTTGATGATGGATACAACAAAGATTTCTAGACTCTTTCAAGTCCTTATAGATTCTACAATAAATACTTGAAAATACGAAAGGGATGACTACAGAGGTATCAAAGAATGCTCAAGAATATTTGGAAGATTTCTGAGAACTCCTAGAACATTCCAGCTTATCAAAGTTAATAAGGAACCAATTGAATTCCTGCATTTGTTTGAGACAAATTGGAATCTTTGACAACATTGTAAAACATTACTGAACCAATTCAGAATTTGAGACACATTCTAGAACATGCCAGAACACTTCTGAGCTTTTGACAACATTTTAGAACACTTTACTCATCATATAGAACTTTTGAATACAATCTAGAACTGGATAACTTTAGAATACCTTAAAAATCGTCACATGACATTTTAGAACTAACTTAGAACTTTCATGAACATATTGGAGTAGTTTAAAACCAATTCAGAATTTGAAACGCGTACCTAAAACATGCCAAAACTCTTCTGAGCTTTTGAAAACATTTTAGAAAACTTTTGGAACACTTTGCTCATGATATGGAACTTTTTGATACAATCTAGAACTGGATAACTTTAGAATACCTTAAAAATCGTCACATGACATTTTAGAACTAACTTAGAACTTTCATGAACATATTGGAGTAGTTTAAAACCAATTCAGAATTTGAAACGCGTACCTAAAACATGCCAAAACTCTTCTGAGCTTTTGAAAACATTTTAGAAAACTTTTGGAACACTTTGCTCATGATATGGAACTTTTTGATACAATCTAGAACTGGATAACTTTAGAATACCTTAAAAATCGTCACATGACATTTTAGAACTAACTTAGAACTTTCATGAACATATTGGAGTACTCTAAAACCAATTCAGAATTTGAGACGCGTTCTAAAACATGCCAAATCACTTCTGAGCGTTTGACAACATTTTAGAAAACTTTTGGAACGCTTTGCTCATGATATGGAACTTTTTGATACAATCTAGAATTGGATAACTTTAGAATACCTTAAAAATCGTCACATGACATTTTAGAACTAACTTAGAACTTTCATGAACATATTGGAGTACTCTAAAACCAATTCAAAATTTGAGACACATTCTAAAACATGCCAAAACACTTCTGAGCTTTTGACAACATTTTAGAAAACTTTTGGAACGCTTTGCTCATGATATGGAACTTTTGGATACAATCTAGAACTGGATAACTTTAGAATACCTTAAAAATCGTCACATGACATTTTAGAACTAACTTAGAACTTTCATGAACATATTGGAGTACTCTAAAACCAATTTAGAATTTGAGACGCGTTCTAAAACATGCCAAAACACTTCTGAGCTTTTGCCAACATTTTAGAAAACTTTCCGGACACTTTACTTTACAAAAAGCCTAATGAGGGCCAAAATTAGAGTTCACCACTCTAGGAGAGCCAGGAAAAGGAGTTTTTCTCTTTTGAGTTTAATGCTAACTCTACGAGGTTATAAATTATTGCTCTATGTTCTCAACCATTGGATTTTTTCTCCTGTGAGAGCAATTTCCTAGAAAATATTTAAACTAGATATACCAAATAAGTACAAGGAGTACATATTTTTAGTAAAATATTGAATAATAAGTTCCTAAATACTCAATGGTCAAATTTAAATACAAGTACAAGACTTATGGCCTTTTGCATCGACCATTTTAAGGAAGCCTTAGCGATAAGTATTCCTTATAGTGACACTTCTCCATGTAAAAATGTCAATTTTAGGGATACTTTTCGCTAAGGCTTCCTTAAAATGGTCGGTGCAAACAGCCATTACTATTTTTAAATTGTAGGTATTGTAGTATAATACATACCTAATAGATATTTTACTTTAAGTATATTTTCCTATTCACTTAGTACATTTAAGTAGCATACATTTTTTTTTGTCATATAACAGCTACTCCAACAGAAACCCTCCAAAGACAATCTTGTATAGCTACAATATTGTCATCCACATGCAAAACACCCGCAGAACAAAACAATTTATGTGCCATTGGGGGCCCCACAGTTTTAGGTACCAACAATTTACTCCAAAATAATAATTATTACTCAGCTAAAACCCATTTTTAGCTGCTCTATTGTCTGTTGATCACCCGTCTGTGAAAATCCCAGTTGCCACTTGCCTGGCCTCCATGTGTTTCAACAACGCAAATGTAGCCAAAGAAATCGTAAATACGTCTCACAGAAACATAAAAATTATCGCCTACTTAACAAAAATGATAGCACGAGATAAATCTATTGAAATGCAACTTGAAGCTGCTAGATGTATGACAAATTTGCATAGGGCTGGTGCAATTCCAGCTTACCATCTTTGTATTACTTATAAAACATTGCCTTGCCTAGTAAGGATTTGTCAGGTAATTATTTCATTTTAATAATTGTAGAAGCTGTTTATTAAATAATTATTGTAGGTTGAACATCCTGAGGCTCAAAGAGCCACAGCAGCTGAAACCTTAGCCTACTTAACCGAAGTTGATAGTGATTTACAGCAAATCGCTGCTATAAGCAATCAGCTAGTTAGTGCTCTTGTAGATTTGTTATCGTGTCATAGCTTAGCTGCTAGAGCGGCCGCCTTTAGGTTTGCAGCTAGCACAAAAAAAAAATCTTGTTTAATATACAGGGTTTTTAGGGCTTTTGCTTCATTGGGTGCCAACGATGAGGATATCAGGAAGCGAATTATAGATACTAAGTGTTTAATGGATCAAATTGTAGATGGCTTGACTGATACTAATAAGGATATAAATTTGGCTTCAGTGAGGTGTTTGCATTCGCTTAGTAGATCAGTGCAACAGTTGAGGACTACTTTTCAGGATCATTCTGTTTGGAGACCTTTAATGACACTATTATCAGGTATTTATTTCACTAATCGCCATATTCCCCGTAGTTCATAAAGCCTGGCTTAGTGGAAAAGCTCGGCTTTGTCACACAAAAAGCCAAGCGTTTTCACTAAGCCAGGCTTTATGAATTACGGAGAATATGGTCCTTAATCAATCTGATTTTTATATAATATAGATATCTATTGTAGAAAATCCAAGTTCCGAATTGTTGCTAGCTGCTTCTTCAACTTTGTGCAATCTTTTGCTTGAATTTTCACCTGCAAAAGAACCCATTATTCATCAAGGTATGGTTTTGGATATTGCAAAGTTGGTTTTAATATTTAATTTTTTTTCAGGTGCAATTTCACTGTTGTGCAACCTGACATTTTCCCCGGAACCTGCATTGAGGTTGAACGGTGTTTGGGCACTGATGAATTTGGCCTTTCAAGCTGACCAAAGGGTGAAAAGTCAAATTTTGAATTTGTTAGGCACAGATCAGATTTTCAGGTAGAATTTACTTATTCAATTATGATTATTATTAGAATTACAATAGCAGGCGGTCAGGTCAGGATATGTGATTTTAGTTTATGCACCATAAGTGAAATTTTCACTGAATCTTATCTCAATAAAGGGACTACAATCTCTGGAAATTTCAGCTCATTTGCACTAATAGTTCCTGAGAAAAAATCGTGTTAAACAATTGGGGTGATTTATCAATTTTTCTGAGTGCCTTTTTTCATAGATTTCGGCTTCAAATCTGAGAATAATTTAGTGTATGGAGTTTGTGGGATCCCGAATGACCATGAGGACACAAAATCTCAACAAAAAAATAATGAAATTTCATGGTTTCAGTACAGTGGTTCCCACCCGTTTTTTAAGCACGACCCTTTTACAGATTTGATCATAAGGTCGCGACCCCCCTACCCCTCAATAAATAAAAAACAAAAATCTCTATTAAAATATTAGTATTACGTAACTAATTATAAAAAGTCAATTTTTATTTTGTTAATGTGATGACTGAGCTTGCCTCTCCGTTTTGAAATTCTTGGGATTCTTGAGTTTTTGTTAAAAAAAGTTGAAAAACCACTTTCATGAAAGTAGGTAGAGGCCAGGGTTGCCAGGGCTGGAACTCTGTAACGGATAAGGACAGTGGATAAGGATCGTTATCCTTATCGCTATGGCACTTGCTGTCTTCTTCTTTCTTGTCGAAATCAATAGAGAGGAGACGTCAATAGAGATAGAGAAAATATCTCTATTCATTACAGAGTTCCAGCCCAGACGTCCCGATTTAGGCGGGACAGTTCCGATGTTTAGAGATATTTCCGAAACGTCCCGATTCACGAATTGAATGCCAAATGTCCCGATTTTAAAAAATGTAAGGAAATTTATCTCGATTTCCGGCCACTCTTTTAGGCTGCGTTTCCTACCTATATTGCTTTTTTTTCCTATCCGCTGTCTCGCTTTTTCAAAGTTAAAATCTGACAACCCTGCATGTCAGGTAGTTTGGTATAAAAAAAAATATTACAGATTCTGTATTACCGGTCCAATGTGGCCAGGCCTTAAATATTGCAGAGTTCTGTTTGATCGGCTTCAATTTGAAATTGACGTAAATAACACTGATGATATTTCAAGTTCTACTCAATTGGCTTATTGTTCGAAAAAAAAGGTCGTAGATAAAATGTTGTACGTTACCTCTACTTAATGCGGTTTCGAGTTTTTCATTACAAAGTTCTGTATTACTGGCCCAATGTTATCATGTCAGGCCGTTTGATATAAAAAAAAATATATTACGGAATTCTGTATTACCAGCTCAATGTTGTCAGGCCTTAAAGGTACGAAAATATTGCAGAGTTCTGTTTTATCGACTTCAATTTGAAATTGACGTAAATGACACTGATGACATTCCAAGGTCTACTCGATTGAGCTAGCGGCGTTGCCACATGATAAAATTCAATTTTTGGAAATCCCCATCTTTTGATTGGTTTATTAAATGAATGTGAAAACCAATCAAGAGCCAAGAATAATTAAAATTTGACTTTCAAAGCCAATCAAGAACTGGAAAGCGGCATTGTCAAATGTTGAAAATAATTTTAAAAAATGAAAAAAACAACCCCAAATTAAGCAAAAATTCTCCAAAAATAATAAATTTCCCTTGAAAATCCTTGGAAAACTTGTTTTTAAATAAAAGTTTCTGTCACTTACCTCGATTGGAAAACTGGAAATTTCTAGCAAAAAACGAAAAAAATCCACAGTCCCGCACTTAGGGCCGAATTTATAGTCACTCCTTGAGGTTTCCTCAGACCTCAAGGAAGCTTTGAACGCTTAGAATTGACATGACTTATTTGTCAAATAGTAACAAGTGTGCATTCTAAACTCAAGATCTCCAAGGAAGAGTCAAGGAACGACTATAAATTCGGCCCATAAAAATACTTTTTTCCATTTAAAAAATCCCGGTAAAGTGGAAAGTTCGCGGAAAAACCGGAATAAAAACACTAAAAATGGCCGACTGTCAAATGATATTGTCAGGGTTTTGGAAATAACATGTCAAGGCCGACTTGATTGGAACCCTAGTGAAGTTGGCTACAAAGCAGTGTTGCCAACTAAAGAAAAATCGTATTTTAGTGAAAAAGCTGATTTTTAAAACTAGAAATTCCCTAAAAAGTTGTTTTTCAGTGATTTTTTTTTGCGGACGGAACACGGAAATTTTTGGCTGTAAATTAAGAAAACTTGAAGCCTGGTACTTAAAATCAATTTTCCGACCAAAAAAGCCCTGGAAAAGCAGAAAATCCGAAGAAAAACCTCTGAAAAGGACATTCTAAAGCATACTTGAGTTTTTGTCATTTACCTCATTTGGAAAACTGGAAATTTTTGGCACAAAATGAAGGAAACTCTAAGCCTCCGTACTCAAAACCAGTTTTCCTGATTGAAAACGACTTGGAAAAGCGGAAAATCGGAAGAGAAATGAGGATAAAAACACTGAAAATGGCGTTGATTGAAGTTAGCCACAAGCAATGTTGCCATATTGACACTTTCAGAAAAAGTATTTTAAATGGGATTTTGCTAAATATTGCATTTAACACTGAAAACTTTTGTTAGAAAATGAAGAAAACTCAAAGCCTCGTACTGAAAACCAGTTTTCCCGATCGAAAAAGCCTTGGAAAAGTGGAAAATTCAAACAAAAAAAACCTCTAAAAAGGAATCTCCAAAGTCTACTTGATGAAACTGAATTTTTGTCACTTACCTCATTGAAAAAGTAGACATTTTTGAAACAAAATGACGGAAACTCAAAGCTTCGCAATTTAAACTAGTTTTTCCGACTAAAAATGGCATGGAAAAGCGGAAAATGCGAGAAAAAATATGACTAAAAACACTTAAAATGGCCGACTGTCCAAACCTGAAAAACCATTTTAAATGGGATTTTGCTAATTATGGCATTTAAAACTGGAATTTTTTATTGGAAAATGAAGAAAACCTAAAACCCTGTACTTTCACCAGTTTTCCCGACTGAAAACGCTTTGAAAAAGTGGAAAACAGTGGCGGCTCGTCAGAGGAGGCAGAAAAAATTGAAAATTCAATCTCAATTTTTTATTCCTGATTTCTAATTAAAATAATAATTAACAAATTACACTTTCCTATTTCAATGTAATTTAGAAAAATCTGACAACATTATTTCAATCAATTCCGCGCCTCCACGACAAATATCTGTGAATCTGGGATACTCAGTAATACCGGCCCGAAGGGCCGGAGTTATACGCGAGCCCGAAGGGCCGGAGTTATACGCGAGACGGAAGGGCCGGAGTTATACTCGAGCCCGAAGGGCCGGAGTTATACGCGAGCCTGAAGGGCCGGAGTTATACGCGAGCCTGAAGGGCCGGAGTTATACGCGAGCCTGAAGGGCCGGAGTTATTTTAATCACGGGACTCGGTCTATAATTCTATTGGTCAGCGAATAATTTGGAGCCAATCAAAAACCGAGAATATTTAAAATGCGATTTTTAGCGTCCGATCAAAGAGTCGGGAATATTCAAAAACTTTAGTTTTATCAAATTAGCTTTGGAATGTTGGTTTTCTTAAGATTTTTACTTTTTTCAGAAAACGGTGGTTTTTGCAAACATATACTACTTTATCATTGTCTTTGTCTTACTCACTATAATCAATAAGGAAACCTTGTAATGTAACTTTCATTGAAATTAAACTAAAAACAAGTTTCCTATGATTTATTTGGAGTATTTTAACTATTATAATCATTATTAATTAATTATTAAATTGAATTTTAAACAAAAAACCCTTTTAAAATGTTATTTTTGTTGTCCGAAATGAGATGTGGCAACGTTGTTTTTAGTTGGCCATTTTGAAGTGACCACTTGTAATTTTTTGCCAGTTTTTCCTCAAATTTTTCACTTTTCCGGAGCTTTTCAATGGAAAAAGGCAATTTAACATACGAGGCTTTGAGTTTTCTTCATTTTCTAGCAAAAATGTCCAGTTTTAAAATGACATAAATAACAAAATCCCATTTAAAATGTTTTTTTTTTTTAAAGTTTTGATGTGGCAAGACCGTTTGTACCAACTTCAAATAGGTTTTGTAATAAATGTCATTTGCCAGTTTTGACAGTCGGCAATTTTCAATTGACGTGTTCACAATTATATCCAGTTTTTCCTCGAATTTTCCGCTTTTCCAATCCATTTTCAGTCAAGAAAACCGATTTGAAATACGAGGCTTTGAATTTCCTACATTTTATGCTAAAAATTCCCAGTTTTCCAATGGGGTAAGTGACAAAAACTCAAATTTCATTAAGTAGGCTCTGGAATGTCATTTTTAGAGGTTTTTCTTTGAATTTGTCCGCTTTTTCAGGGCTTTTCTGGTCGGAAAAACCGATTTAAAGTACGAAACTTTGAGTTTTCTTAATTTTCCACCAAAAATTTCCAGTGTTTTGACGGGGTAAGTGAGAAAAACATTAGTTTTATCAAGTAGGTTTTGGAATGTCATTTTCGTTGGTTTTTTTTTGGATTTTTTATTTAAGGTTTTTGGGGTCCGGGGATCGTTTTCTATCATTTTTTTTTTCGAAATTCGCAAAATAAAAAAAAAACTTTTTTGATGTTAACAGCTGTCAATTTTTTTTGACACAAATCGATAGTTAGCGTCGCGAAACTGCCTTATACCGGGGTTTGATTTTCGTAGCTTTTATAGTAGAGCGGAGAAAAAGTCGAACATGTGTCAAATTTGACAGATTATGAACGTGGATATTCTCATAAAATTTTAGTGAATTCCGAGACATTTTTAAGAAATTACATGAAATTCCAAAGAATTTTATGAAAATTTTGTGGAATTCCAGGATATTTCAGTGGTAAAATTTTGAGGAATTTTAGTAAAGTTAAAAAAACAAAATATGGAATTTTGAAATTGAAATCTTAATGGAATTTTGAGGAATTTCATGAGATCCTATACTGTAATTAGCCTCCTCACTTGAAATAGTCACGAGCCGCCACTGGTGGAAAATCTGAGGAAAA